TAAGCAAAGACAAGCGCCAAATTAGCGCAACGTTCCACAACTCCGATACCAAAATGCAAGGAAAATGAGCGATAGCAAATTCCAAACACCAAGCAGCATCATACACATGAAACCAAATATTTGTGCCCTCAAACCAAAGGCAGAATTGCAACTTGAGTTCCACCAAATAAGGGCACAGCAAAAGCTCACAAGTGACAATGTTGAAATAGTCTCATCATCATCAACAATGAACAAATGAAGATTCCCTATTTGGCGCTCAGAGCCCAAACTGCAAATGGCAAGCCCTATCTAGCCTATCTACAATGTTGCTGGTGACGTCAACAGCTTCCCGAAGTACGAGCAGATCTCGGCCAATGTCGTCGCCGCAAGCACCAGGTATGTCTCACACTTTGCTCACAACCTCAACCCCCCCCACAGATGTCGCGCACCCAAGGACCACCATGTGCCCCATCCAGCATCTCGCAGGCCGGCTCGGCTATGGCTGCCTACGTGTGCCCTGCTTTCCCATGAGTGCGTGGGCACATGCCTACCGATAGCGCAACAGCGCTTACCCAACAAGTCGCAAGTGCCCGAATAACGAGCCCATAACCACACCCTTTCCTATATGGAATGAGGTTGTCAGCCGTGGCTGCCTAGCTGGACTTCACCGCTCCACGAAAGCTTTCGGTAAGCCCAAGTGGTTGAGCCCCTGTCCCCAGGAATCTCCTACAGGGGCTGGGATGGTTACCCGTGTTCAATTGCCAACGGCCTGTTATTCAATTTGTGCCCTCGTGTCTGGCCCAGGGCCTGCGTTGATATTATTTGAAAAAAGGCAGGCAGGGCCTCGGATCTCTCAACCAACTGTCGATGAACAACTACTTGAATTCCCCGGCTGCATCCAACCCCAAAATAGGCCTCTCGTCGCTTGTCAGGGCCGCCTTCACTTAGGGCGGCCATTCTAGCTGAAACAGGGCCTAGTAAGGCTTACCTCGTCCCTTGTCAGGCCCGCCTTCACTTAGGGCGGCCGTTCTGGCTGAAACAGGGTCCAATAAGGCTTACAGAGGCCTTGAGCCTCGCAATACGTAATCCGAAAAAGTCCTCTTGTGTTGATCCTTAGAAGCCACCTCGATCTGGTGGTAGCCTAACTTCAGATCAATCTTGTTGAAGTACTTACAGCCCTGCAACTGATCAAGTAGGTCATGGATACGAAAGAGGGGCTTTGCATTTTTGACAGTGCGGAGTTCAATCCTCAATAGTCAATACATAGCCTAAGTTCTCCTTCCTTCTTGGGTACAAACAAGACAGATGCACCATAAGGAGATGAACTTGGGTGAGTCCATTCTTTCTCAGTAAGTTCTTGCAGTTGTTTCTTCAATTTTCCTAAGAGACATTTGGTCAATGGGTCCTTTAGGAATCTTACTTCCAAGAATTATTTCAATTGTGTGCTTTATAGCATGTTCAGTTATTCATGTCCGTTTAGTCTACAAGTCCTTATATTTGTCAAGGAGTTTTTCAATAGAAGGATAGGGTGCGAAACATTCATCTACTCGTATAGTGAGTATCATCATCACATCCTAATCCAACTTCTTCTTTGAGACCATACTTCTAAAAGTTTGGGTAACTCATACATCAGAAAGACAATGTTAAGTCAGATTCAGACCTATGATACAATTTTATTGCTTTAAACTCGAATTTTTTGTCGTTTAGTTTTACAATATTTTCCTTAAACTTGATATCTGGGTCCGCTTCCTCGTGCCAATCCATTCCCAAAATTGTGTCGAAGGGCAGACCTATGATACAGTTTTATTGCTTTAAACTCGAACTTTTTGTCATTTAGTTTTACAATATTTTCCTTAAACTTGATATTTGGGTCCGCTTCCCCGTGCCAATCCATTCCCAAAATCATGTCGAAGGGCAAGTTCTTTTCAATTAGGAAGGTTACTTTATGCAAAAAAAAAATCCTTCCTTGGTTCAGAAATAACACTTAACACGATCAACATATTAAACCACTAGTACCTCCGCCAGTGTTGGGAAATTATGGTGTCCTTGACAGGACCCGAAGTTTGTGGGGGTCGGACACAGGGTCGACAATGTCCCAAAAATCACAGTTTTCTTTTGCCCGTGCACGAAAAAAAAAGGAAAAAAAAAAAGGCCTTTGTATTGCAATGATGACGGGCAAAGTAGTCTAGGAGGCCATGCTCACAATTTTGAATGCATCTTACAACAAAGGTGGTCACATTCTGAAACTTGTTGTTTTCTTTTTTTTATTTCTCTTTTGTTCGTTATGTGTCCCCTGCCAACGAGACAGGGCGAAATCCGTGATCTGCTCTAGCTGTGTTTCCTCATATGATTGTAAACCTAATGTATCCAACCGTTTTCAAGGCCGAATCCGTGCTTCCGTTTTTTTTTTCTTGTTTTCTTTTTCTGGAATCTGACAATCTGAGTCCGAGATCTGCTCTTGCCATTTTCACGGCCAAATCCGTGTTCCTATCTTTTTTTTTTTTCGAGTTTATAGAATCTGACAACCTGGCCACGGGGCTGAGATCCCCTCATTGAGGGCACACTCACACTAACACTTCCGAGAATGCATACACCTGCAATCACGCCCAGAGCTTTCTTTCGTTTTATTGTTTTGTGAGTTTTCACGGCCGCAACTTTTTTTTTTTTTTTTTTCTTCCCGTGAGAGTACCATAAAGAAATGGAGTGGGACCCAGGCTCAGCAAAACTCGGAGCGCAGTGAAAATCAAGGTCAGCAAAAACAGGCTCGGAGATACTGGTGGTTTAAGAGACAATAATTGTTCTCTTGTCAACCAACATAGACGTGGTAGATCTAGGTAAGAACTTTACCTTCATTCCCAAATGCACTTTTCATATTACCTCTTCTAGGATGTAGGATCGCATCAATCTTGGATCTAACAAGGCACCTACTCGCATACGTACAATCTCAATGTTTGCGATCAACCTTAGACTTTGCTTTCTTAGCCCACAAACTTCTTAAAGCAATTAGTTCATTTCCAAGTTCGTCAAGGGAATCGTCCAAAGAGACGGAACATAAAACAGTATCAGGGTGTTCTGGATGACGGGCCGAAGAAGAGTCTTCCTCTGCCACGCGAGTTGAGGGGTTGAAAAGGGTTATTGTCGCCTTACCTTCAACTGAACCCTTCAACTCGGCATGAGCAGATGCTACCCCTACAGGCTGCTCCCTTTTGGGTTTCGGATGAGTGGGCACCATGCAATGATATGTCGTGCAGTGCCACACTTAAAACACTGTCTATTGTTCATCCGGTCTTGACATACCTTTCGTGACAGTCTCATCTTCTCCCAAGGTCTACCGACTGCAATATTGGGATGTTCGAAAAAGGAGCATGGCCTTTTTTTCTTTCCAAATCCTCCTGAATTGGTGCCACCCTTGTTGGTCACCATGGCGGCGACACCACCCTTTCCCGACTCACTGCCACCACTAGTTCCACCCTCGGCCTCATCGAGGGCCCCCTTTTCCACGGTGAATCCCATAAACGCATAGTTTCACCTCCAAAAATATTCTCACCGGTTGGAGATCTCATAAGATATTTACCTAAACCAGTAGGTCCTTGGGTAGATCCTACATTAGCACCAAGTCTCTGATCTCTGACCAAGAAACTAAATGCTTGTGCTTGAGATACCTCTGGCCCTGTAGGTCCATAAAACTTACTTGGATATGTTGTACTGTTACCAAACAAAACAACATGCAATAAAGCCCATAACAAAGATAGCAGCCACACTATCAGATAAATAAGCGTTGCCAGACCATACAAAAGCTCAACGTGCCCAGGCAAATGGTTTCGTTATACCACCAAATAAATGATACATGTCATCATCAAAAACGACGAGGGTGTGATTATGTCGCTTTTGCCGCCACAGGATATGCTTACCATTTCCATACCACCAACTTGTGTCGTCATTTGGTCCTTTTGGAGCGCAAGGTCGCGAAATTGCCTATGGTTATACTTTCCTGACTCGGCCACAAGTTATCCACGAATCGGTTCGGGCAATGCGCGTGAGTAAATGTAAAGGACCTGGTGGTCCTGCAAATTGAGTCCAGGTACCTGCAACAAACGATCCACCTCATCGACAGAAGATCAGCGCTTTCGACTTATGGTGGTGAGTTCGTCGAAACCCTTATCGGTTGTCGTCTTATCAAGGCATCTCTCCTTGATCTTTTGGACAAACTCCCTAGGGGTCAAAGACTTGGCCCACTGACCAGTGTACTCGAATCATGCGGCATTGGCCTCCGAGAGGATCCACTCCTTTGCCACTTTTCCCAAACACGACGTGGAGAAGGCTACCTGATTCTCAGGTTCAACCGGAGCGGTTGCGCGATAAGTTTGTATCTCAGCCATCCACAACGATAAGTTTTCTCCCTTTTTGTTATTATAGATAAACGACAATTTCATCCTTACCTTTTCTCTTCTTTTTTGTTTCTCCGTTTCTTTGACCGGTTCGTTTTGAGCAGCCTCTTCCTTTCTCGATGGTTCCTCAGTTTCTTTCCCTGAGCTTTCAAGCTTTTCCGACGACTTCTTAACTTCCTTCATTGCATCCTTCATCAACTTTTCTTGGGGTTCTTTTTGTTCTTCCCCCTTGACCTCCTCGTCAATCACCACCTTGTTCTTTCCTTTTACAAGTTTTGTCATTGTCTACACTTCGACGGTGTTGTTATCGATCTTCATTTTACGGTGAGCGAAGTAAGTCATCATAGTATTCAGGATGCAAGGTCAGCACTTGTTCCTTCAAAGTGAAATTGTTGTTGGATTTCCTCAACCTTCTATCTTGTTGTTCATTTTCCTTCTTCCTCCTCTGGTATTCTTTCATTTTCTTTTTCTCGCATTCAATGCATCCTTCCAATTACTTGATTCCCTCCATAATTTCTTCAGACAGTTCCGGTTCTTTCTGTTCGCTTCTCTCTCCTTGTTCCTCTTCTTTCTTGGCCCCTCTATCGGCTATCTCTGTTTGTTGATCGATCACAAATTATCAAAAGCCTCTCGGCTTTGATTAATTGTTTGTTGCACACGAACGCTGGCTTCCATCATCTCCACAGCAGTGTCAGATTGCTCTAGTTCGCTTTTTGCTGCTCGCAGATCGAACTGGCTGCGCAAGTGATGCTCAACGTCTGCCCCAGCATCATCTAATTTCGTGATCAACTGATGAAGATGGCCCAGCATCTGTTGCCATCTGTTTTCAACTTGGCCACATATTCTTATTTCACCACCTTCCTCATCAGCGAAGAAGGTGATGGAGGTAGGAAAGAGGAAGAGATGAATGAAGCAAGTCAAGATAGAAAGACGCAAGCAATTCTAGAGGACAAACATTTTTACAATCTATGTTTGTCGCACAATAAATAATCAACCGACAATAACTAATTCCACGGCCACACTCAATTATTCTACAGCAAGAAATAAATAAACAACAATAAATAAGGAACAAATTTTCAATAACTTCTAATTTTATGTCGACTTTTCTGATGACGTTCTATTGAGAGTGTACAGGGACCGCAGCCACGGCCAGTACGATCAAGACAACAACAACACACGTGAGTAGCAAACATCCACAAAACGGCCAAGACAAGTGAGTAGAATCGGCCAACATAACAACAATCAATATGACAGCAGCTCATCCTCGATCGGTTGTCTCCCTACGAATATTAATGCAGCCAAACACAAGCGCCGACGCGTGGCACTACAACCAAATCGTGATGTTGTACCATCCGCCAGCACACAAGTGAAGTATCAACTTCTAACCAAGGGAAGCCCACAACCACTACACCCTGGTATGCCAACGCAGCACCTCCGCAAAGTTGCCACATCAGCGTCAACGACCAATAGGCCTTCAAGAAGGGTGCCACGTCGGCAAGGTATCGCCTGCCAGATCATCCACCACTGGTATGCCACGTCAGATCAAAGGTACCACTGAAGTATGGAGCACCGCATCAGCAGGTAAGTCGCAAACACAGGTACGTGCCACGTTAGACAATGCCCTACCAATACCTGAGTGCCACGTCAGCACCCTCGCACCTTGCCACGTAGGCAGCTCTCCAACACCAGGTTAGCAGTCCCACTCTCTCTCTCTCTCTCTCTCTCTCTCTCTCTCTCTCTCTCTCTCTCTCTCACACATCCAGCGCCATGTCAGCACCGCAGCCAACAATGCTTGCGCCGGTATTTGATCGCCACGTCAACAACAAAGCACCGCATCAGCAATGTCGCCGTCTTCACCATGAGCAGGTAGGCGCGCGCATACAATGTCCAGATCGCAATGAAAATCACGCGCGTCAAAACACGCGATTCAGACGCGATTCAGACGCGCACGGCACCTATCCCTCCCACTTACCTTTGCGCGCCAGGGCGCGCCACAGCAGATCGCAACGAAGAGGTAAGCTCCGATACCAAATTGTAATGAACCCAGTTTGGAGGAAACTTGTCGAGTGTCGAAATGCAAGCTAACTCAGCGCTGATCAATGTCTCGAATAATCATGAAAAGTGATTTGTGATACAATGTCTCGTAACCGGTAGACGAAGGAGAAGAGGGGGAGAACAGACACGAGGGGGAGAACAGACTTAAGAGGGTGGAAGAGAAAGTATCCATCAATGACCACACAGATAGAAGCCCCTCGTTCCCCTCTCCTTCTTCAAGCCTCCCCTCTCCTCCACGTCAGCAAACAGTATCCAAGAAACAGGATGTCACAACAACACGCAATGTCGACATCAGCAACAGGGCCTCTCTCTCTCTCTCTTGATCAATCCAGAGATCCCGATCTGTCGCATCCCAATCAGCTATAAAGACAGTGTGCCAAATGCCACGTCGGCAATATAGACAGAGTGGCATGCCGCACATCAGCAAGGTCAAAGGCAGAGTGGCATGCGCCACATCAGCAAGCTAGAAGACAGTTGGCACCAAAGCAGGAAGGCGCCAGACTCAAAATGCAGCAGTCTCGCGTCGTCGTCGCAGAATGCCAGTGTCTAGCCAGCGTCGAGCCAGCATCAAGTCAGCAAGGCAAAACTGGATGTTGACTCCCGGAGGCAGAGTCAATTAGTGTTGACAAGGTTGACCTGCCTCTGGTCCTTTACCCACAGAGGCTCAGATTGAGTCGCAGCCGACGGCGTGGATCTCGTACAGTTGCAGATTTCCACTTGGTCTGAATGGTGTCTGGATACACGCGTACAATCAAATGTGCGTCTGATCGGCGGCCTGAGCTCGGTCCATGCAGACTTTGACTCATGGACCGCTGTACAGTTGACTTTAGTCAACTGTCGGGTGCAGGGCCCCTGAACCCACGTTTCAGGGTTCTGTGCCCCTCGGTCGGCGCAGGGCCTGAGGGCCGCGTTTGTGGCCTGCGGGTGGCCTCCTTGGCCGACGACATGGCATATATGAGCGGGTTATTGCACAATCATTAACAATAAAATGACCACTCCAAGACACCACAATAATTCTCGTGGACTGGCATAACTCCCATTATAAAGACCACAAAAAATATATGAAGATAAACCACAATAAAGAATAGAGCGAAATTTTCACACCCTTGGTGATTATCCTCTCCGAACTGTACGAGATAGTCACCTATCATACGCTCCCATAATAAAGACCCCAAAAAATATGAAGATTAACCACAATAAAGAATAGAGTGCAAATTTCACACCCTTGGTGATTACTCAAGTCCTCTCCGAACCGTACGAGATAGTCACCTATCATACGGCTCACCAACTCAACATAGCCTCAAATAGAACAAGCACTAACGCTGAGGGGGGCTTTCAGCACCTTCGAGAACAGATGCTGAACTAAAGCCAGTATAATCGCATCTTGCATCCTAACGCAACAAGCGCACGAATTCACACTGCTTCTCACATCAAACAAGTTCACACTCCATCAGATCCACATGCCCTCAGGCCTCTCATTCCTCTCTACTGTCTTCATCGAATCTCTCTCTCTCTCTAGCTAGCTACTAGCTATGGCGTTGAGCACCATCAACTCAGCAACTTGGATAGCCGCTTGCAGTACTTGGTCGCACACTAGTGCAACCAGTCTTCCACCTCAAGCATGTGCAGCATAGGTGCTGATGTCTTCGGCAAATGGACTTTTGTGTGCGACCATAGAGTTCCCTTGTCTTCGGCAAATGAACTTTTGTGAGCGACCATAAGAGTTCCCTCGGCCTCGGACTTTCCGGTACTGAACCCTGCTTTGCGTGACCACCCACCTCTGCCGTTTCGACAAGCTCCCTGATTTTCTTGGGACTTGGCTGCTGAACTTGGACTGACAAACTGACTGAACCTGACTTCTACCGAACTTAGCTGACTGCGCAGACTTACCCTGCAGACCCTCCCAAAGACGACCACAATGGCCTACCGCCCACAGTGGGGACAGCATTGCAGTACACAGTACTGGGGCTGGAAATGGAACTGGAATGACTAGAACTGGGACCGGGGTCTTACACGGTGAATTTTTTCACTAACATCACGCACCTGCAAATTAGGGACAGTTACGACATCATTTTGAGGGCGACACACAGCTTCCCGGCAAGGGGTTTTCTGGCGGGAGGTGGCGGGAGGGGACCATGCGATACCACTCAGAGTTTGGATAAGTATACCGTAATCAGGGGGAAAACAAGCACATGCATTCATTGCCGATTTCAGTTGTAAAAACCAGCCCTCCAAAACTAAAACACCAAGATTTCCAGATTTCCATTATAAATTCCTCCAGATTTCCATTATAAATTCCTCCAGATTTCCATGATAAATTACCTCGCTTGAAAACAAAACGGAGAAAAATCACGAAACAATAATGCCCAAAACCAAGCGCATGCATTCATTGCCGATTTCGAGTCCGAAACAGGAAGAGAAATCATACCTCCAACTAATGCTTCGTCTGCGCCATCTCCGCGGAGATCTACTCTTACTCGCTCTCCCTGCCCACCTCCTTTGCACAGGACTTCGGCTACCCCACAGCGGACTTCTCATGGGCGTGCTTGGACTCCGGCTTCTGCTGCGACTAAGACTCCTACTTCGGCTCCTGCTCCAGCTCAACCCACGGGCGGCTGACGGTGATGCTTTTCTGCTCTTTTTACCGTAGCTTACTCTATCAATCTCAACACGCACCCTCCCCCGGCGGGACGCAGCCACAAACTCATCCTGGGGTACCGACGTGTCACCCGCATCTGGCTCCCCAGATCTCTCCCCTACGCAAACCATTGCGCTAGGGCTATTATCATCTTTCCGCTCCCCCTCATTCGCTTCCCCTTGAACTCCCCTCTCTTCTACCGCGTTTACTGTGATGTTACCACTACAAACTCCGTTATTTGGCAAAAAATTACCATTTCCAGAAACAACCTCCATTACTCGCACACCCTCTTGGCAACGCCCTCCTATACAAGCACTTGGCGCTGTCACCGCGCCACCTGGCTCGCCCAACAGGGAAGTCCTCTCCGCAGGCGAAGGCACCTTGTCAGCAGCTCCTACATCGTCAAAAACGGGTTTTTCAGATCCCCCCCCACTCCGACCTGCATCACAAAATAAGAACCCAAAACGAAAGAAGTGCAGATATCCATGGTCAAAAAAAAGAAACAGCAAGAATGTCACCATAGCAACCCCAAGCATCAGGCCCACGAGTAGGGTAGGTCCCCCATACATGGAACTGTGCGGGGGCAGGTGGGGGGAAGGGCGAGGGAGGGATGCGCATGTAGTAGTGCTCTCTCTCTCTCTCTCTCTCTCTCTCTCTCTCTCTCTCTCTCTCTCTCTCTCTCTCTTATCACAAGATATATATATATAGAGATATATATAGATATATATATCGAGGAGTAGAGTAGCTACCCCATCTCTGGGCTATCGTCGTAGGTGGGGGAGGGGGGAGGGGAAGGCACGTTAGTTTGATGGATCCTACGATCGATAAGGGGGGGCGGGGTAGGCCCAAAGTTTTTTTCTTTTCGTCGAAACGGGGGGGAAGGAGCGTCAAGCGGGGGGTGTACATGGCATTGTGCCGGGGGGGGAGGGCGGGCGCAGAGGCGCCGCATATACCCCCCGCCCGCTCTCTCGCTATGGTTTGCTACTCAATCTTCGATAAATCGTCGTGCAGGTGGGGGGATCTGGGCGGGCGAGCCACATGTAGAAGTCATCATCGTCGTCTCTCTCTCTCTCTCTCTCCGCGTGTGAGTACAGCAGAGTAGCTTCCCCGATCTTCAATTGGTCGTTGTGTAGTGTGTAAAGTAGCTCCCCTAATCCTGAATTGGTCGTGCACTATACAATAGCTCAATTACGTTCTCTCTCTCTCTCTCTCTCTCTCTCTCTCTCTCTCTCTCTCTCTCTCTCTCTCTCTCTCTCTCTCTCTCTCTCTCATAGTAACAAGTTAGCAAACGTATTTCAAGTGTTTGCATCATGACTTCTAAAGCACTAGACCAGCAATTATGTTGGCATTCAACACAAAACTTCTTTGCTTGCTTTGCGTAAATGAGATTTCATGTGACAGTGCAGCAGTCAGGGGAGGCCGGAGCGTCATCCAATCAATAGATTAATCGATTGCCGTTTATCTATCCGCTAGTACCTTCGTGGACGAGCCATTGGCATGGGCACGCGTGAACAAGAAAGAGCCAATTGCGCGTGCCTGAGGTGAGGGTAGTTCTGTGTGCGTGGAAGTGCAGACAAGTGGGACCACAAGTGCCTCCAAATGCCACAGTGTGTGCTTGCTGAGGTAGATGGGTGCCTGGTGAGCCGTAAGCAGAAAATCAAAGCAGGCTACCACCCACCACAGCAGCCATATAGATGCACAGAGCAACGTCGTACACAACCACGAACTGCGTCATCCGCCAAAGCGCGTCGGATTAGCGGAGTCGCGAGTTCCTCTACTGCAACAGCGCGTCTGGGGAGGAACCTCTTGAGCTACTATAGCACCTTCGTGGGCGAGCCATTGGCATGGGCACGCATGAACAAGAAAGAGTGAATTGCGCGTGCCTGAGGCGAGGGTAGTTCTGTGTGCGTGGAAGCGCAGACAAGTAGGACCACACGTGCGTCCAAATGCTACAGTGTGTACTTGCTGAGGCCGATGGGTGCCTGGTGAGCCGTAAGCAGAAAATCAAAGCAGACTACCACCCACCACAGCAGTCATATAGATGCAGAGAGCATCGCCGTACACAACCACGAACTGCGTCATCCGCCAAAGCGCGTCAGATTAGCGGGGCCGCGAGTTCCTCTACTGCAACAGCGCGAGAGTGGAGGAACCTCTTGAGCAGTCACCAGTTCGGTGGCGCGGTCTGTGAGCGCGTGTTTTGGTCGGGTGCACAAAGTTGGCGAGCGTGTGCGGCTGTGACACCCAATAACCGTACTTCACGGCATCGATAAATGTGGTGGGTGATCATACATACTCTCACCTAAGAATACATACATATATGAAGCGGGCTGATCGGAAAAACTACGAAACAGACCGCACAATCGACAAACCTTTACCTTGTCAAAAGTGATAAGGGCCCAAAGCAAGAAAAGCAGAGAAACTGACCTTCTCGACGTCTTCTCCGAAAGTCATCCGGTGAAAACTCTCTCACGTTCGAGGCCTTCTCTTCCGTCCCATGTTCCATTTTCACTGGGTTCTTCTGCACCATATCCTCCTCCAGACAGTCTTCATCCTGAATCGTCCTTTGGCCTTCACGGTCTTCAAATGACTGGGAAGTCGGCTTTTTCTCCTCGTCTTCCACGGTACCCAACACGTGCTCAACAATACTCTCTTGCCTAGCTGGTTCGTGCGCTTGCCTGGGGTTGTCCTTGCCATTGACGTCGAAGTTCACCTCCTGAGCATCAAGCTCTCTCCCTGAAATGCCGTTACTCTCGTCCTCGCTAGTTGTGCGAGCGCCCAGTCGGCGATGACGGATGCGACCTCCGTCGTCGCCATTCGCCTGTCTCTCCAGCGGCGAAGCAGGGTTGCCATCATCAGCCGCTGGATCCCGTATATCTTCAGCTTTTGCGGGTAGTCCGCGCACAACAGAGGACTGGGGAGCAGACGGTGGCGTGGAAGTAGGAGTAGACGACAGCGGGGAGGGCAGAGTGGAAGGTGGAGCTAAAATGGAAGAGAAAGAAGCTGAAGGGAAACCCGGCAGAACATTGGAAGAATGGAAGGATGGATTAGCAACTTGATGCCTAGAAGGGTGATCCGAAGCCGGAGAGGGACAAGAGCCTCCGCCATCCTCGTGCACAGAGGGCGCTGGAAGAACATGTGTCTCCAAAGCATGACCCGGCGAGGAGGTAACCAAAAGGCCTCTTCCCTCTGAGGAGGTCTCAACTACAGGCGAACGATACACAGGAAGTACGTGCTTCTCCGATGAGGTTTGCGCTGTCCGTGGTTTCCTCACTGGTGTGATTGAAGAACCGACGTATCGTGCAGGCGAAAACGAGCCGTTGTCCACAGGTTGATCTGACGAAGGCAGCGATGCTCGTGGATGAATTCCATCCCCACTGTCTGATGATGCGCCGTCTTCTGGTGGGAGAGGAGGAGCGAAATCGTCTGCGTCACAAAACACAAGCAACGAAAAAATATGATTGTATAAGCTCATGCTTCCCTGCTTCACCCTCGCCCCCGCACTTCCTATCCCTCTGCCATTTAATCACATGTCCTCACCCTAACCTCCCGCACTCCCCACCCCTCTCCCATTTCATCACATCCCGAACCGCACTCCTATCCCTCTCCCGCTTTATCACGTATCCCATCTGTTCCCTATGCACCCGATGCATGATAAAACTTTTGCCAACGCACCCCTACAACAATCCAAGCCAGCAGCACCCGCCGTGCTTTCAGCCCTCCTCCTTAAGACTCTTCTCAGCTTTCTTGCCCGCCCCTCCGGCTTGCTTTAAGCCCGCCCAATTAGGAACCTCCCTTTCCCCCTGTTCGGCATTTCCCTTGGCGCTCTCTCGGCTGCAAGCGTCCAATTTCGCCTGGGTGCGTGTTGCTTTCCCCCAGACAATGAATCTGCAATGGACGCCGACGATCACCGATCCATCCACGATGGCCATCATGGGACACGCTCTGGCGATAAGAGTCAAAATACTGATTCCAAGGCGGAGACATGTTGTTTCCACGTCCTCTTCCCACGCCATTGCACTATCCACGAGACTAGCCAATGACACTGGATAATTAAGCAAATGAAGCCGAGCACTTTACAGTCCAGCTTGAAGTTCAGGTAACGCCGGGGATGAAAAATATAAACAGACAAAAATAAATGGAAAGTAAGAAGATTACAAGGGAAGCGTGTGAAAAATCAGGGAAAAGGGGAATGAGAGCGATGGTTAAACGAGGTTTCCACTTCATCAAGAGAGGGGTTTGGATTGTACAGAAAAATAACCCCAGACTGTTACTCGCAAACGAGCGCCCTAAGTGGTTCTTAAGCGCCACGAACCTTCCATATCCATATCCGAATTGGACGTTGACGGGGATGAAGGTAATGGCACACAAGTAACAGCTTCTTCCTCGTGATGGATATGGGACACTGATGGAGAAGAGGCGTGTAAAACTGGCCGGGCGTTCACTTGCTCTTCAATGACATTTTTCATCCACTTGTAGTATTCCGCAGCTTGCGCCTCTACACTGCCAGGTGCCCCTCCTAACAAAAACCGAAACTTCGGATTTCCCGCCTGATCTGTCCTCGTCCTATGTTCGAACGCTGGTCCGTTCTTCGCTACGTATAGTGCCAATACTTCTATGTTTTTTCTCACCTCTGCATCCGCAGGGGGAAGTGGCGCACCTGAAGAATGCACAGTGAGGGCTCTGCTACCACAACCGCCCAGGTGTGAAGGAGGGAGTCTGTTGGAAGGCAATATGCCCGGCACCCAACCACTATCACTTCTAGAATGGCCGGCACGTTCGTGAAATGTCTGAAAAGAATGCACTGGCTTCTCGGACAATCCAACAGTCAGATTAGGAGGGCACAATACGGTCGACTGCAGTCGATCTCCCGCCGTTGCGGGTCCAAGCAACAACGGCGTACCAACCCGACTAGAAAGCTCCCCTGATGTTGGAGGCGCCAAACTCTGATGGGAAACGTTATCTGACGGCAAAGCAAGTGGGGGACGTGGGGGTGGCGAAACGATTTGAAGAAGCTGAGGAGGACGAGCTAGAAGGGAATCCTCAGGCAGCATCGGTACAGACACGGGAGACAGCGGACGAGGAGACGAAGGAGGAAAGCGACGAGACGGGAACCCATGACAAACGGAGAAGTTAAACTGATTCGCCTGCATGACACCAACGTTTGTTAGATCAGAGGACGGCGGCGTAGTAGGCCCCTGTTCTCTTCCAAATCCCAGCCCTCCAACACCATTCGGAGAGCCAAATCTTGCTGTCGCCGATCCATATTGTGATTGGGGACGAAAGGGCATCCCGAAATCGCCGAGAGGGCAATGGGACGTGTCCGCGGCACTTTGTCCTCCTAAGATGATACCAGGCGCCATGATCGGACAATGAGAATCTGTGCATGGACGACCACCACCCTCGGCACCGCCACCGCCACCACCCCCTTCCACTACATCAACACCGCGTTGAGTCTGCACAGAACTCAGACCTCCATCGGGGGGAGAATACGCGCTCTGGTACATCACCCTGAGGATAGCGCTAAAAAACACCCACGTAGGCACCGCTGATTGCAGTCGTTCGGAGGATCTCCTGCTCCCACGCGCTGAACTTCGAGTTTCGGCAGTGGCGAGGGACGTGAGGTCAATCACAGCTCATGCCGAGGACGCTTATGCCGCGCAGGGCTTCCTCCGCAAGGGTCTGAATCTCTTTTGAGAGAAAGAGGGTCCACATTCACCATTTCCCTCTCTGGACGAGTCACCAAGCGGATGACTATTAACTTCCTTAACTCCCGATTTGATTGGTTGTTTTCTTCAACCTCCGCTACCTTCTTCCGCGTTTACCCCTCGCAACCATATCCCCCATCTCTTCTTCTCCGAGAAATCACCCACGACTGTCCAACGCTAACCACTACATAACTTCCCTCCCGGTTTCTTTCGTCATTCTCTTTATTCCCCTCTCCATTCTTCCATTTTCATCCATCGCTACCGGAAGGCTCATTTGCACCATCCCGACCTTTTCATCCTCCTTTCTGCTCGAATCGTCCGCTGCTGAAGATCCATAAAGAAAAGTATCGCTGGCTACCGTTTCACTGGACCACCGCAAAACACAAACCCTAAAATACTCCCGTACTGACCTGTGCCACAGTTCTCACGCGCGTCTATGATTAACCGCAAGCAGACAGAGCGGCGCCACCCCGACATGAGGTGAGAGCCGCGTTGCGGAAGAAATCCCGCACGCGGGGCTGCGCCGACTATTTTGCCTTAACGTGAGAGCACGCACGGCTGCGCAGCCCGAAGTAAGTTTGTTGATGTGGTTGGGGAAGCGTAAGGTAGTGATTATGCTGTGTTTTTTTATGTTTTTTGTTTTTTTTTGTTTTTTTTTTCTTTTTTCTTTTGGTGATTATGCTGTGTTTATGTTTTGTCATTATCGCCATGTACAACTCCAAGAGTGTGTGTGTTGGGTCCCGGCTGGTGTTTTAGGGCCTGGTTGCACTACTCTCAGTACCTCAAGTTGGGGCCTTGCGGGACGGCACAACTAACGAAACGAAACGCCCACCAAACTCGCGATGCCCAGATCAGCTTCGTTTTTCCCCTCACCGCTGCACAGCACACATGAAAACTCTCGCGAGAACGCCCTGGCGAGAGCAGTGCGGGATTCGTTTCGCTACGGTCCAAATTTTTGGACGGACCTCGGCTGGGGCGACGCGACACACTTGTGACATTTCGCAGTTCCTCCAGCCGACCAGCGGAGGACCTACGAGTTCACGAGCGCTGCAGGCAGGGAGGACTAACGCAAGCTGTTAACCTCGCGAGCTTGGAGTCTGACAGCATTCACAACTTGTCTTCTGACAGAGGTCGTGTGGGTTCTGTGCGGCGACTCTTTCACGAAATGAAGTCGGTTTTTTTTTCGTTTCTTGCACCGCTTGGCGAGGCCCTTTGGCGAGTAGGCGCCTGGCTGCACTTAGGGCCTCACCAAACCACTATAAAATTAAGTTTTTTTTATAGTTTTGCAATTGAGGCTTCGAAATTCTTCGATGGGTGTCAGAAATTGGAATTCGATAGCCCTATCGAACCAATTGCGAACGCCTGCAATGGCCTTTTTTCGATAGCCTCCTTTCCGCGCCATCGAAAAACCGCCCACACACGTGCTAGTCGTCACAAACCTCACACTGACGAGCATCAGTTTTTATTTTTTCCTTTTCAATAGTCGAGTAGTGAATTTCTAGAGGGCAGTAATGTTCCTGGTCCGGAAACCCATCAGGCGCAATTCGGCAAACAATTCATCAGGAGAGGCGTCATCGCCACACCGCACTGTCAAAAGTGGACCTGGAATGGAAAACATTTGATACGTCGCCGATTCGACAATGGTGTTTGGCAAAAGGGGGGGGGGGACGATCGGAATTTTTTAACACTTGTTGAAAAAAACACAATTCGATAGTGGCGTTGCGAGGCCCTTAGGGGTTTGCCACAACAATGTCTAAACCGCCTTATTTTCGACATGTGTCAGCCATTTTTCTTTATTTATGCGTGTCATCCTTGCGCAGGGGTCATGCTAATCTTCTCTATTTCGTTCGAAATCTAACGGATGTTCCAAAATACAATGAGGCATTTTTCGACATTGGTGTGTTTGATAAAAAGCAGCCTTCGCCACACCGAATGTCGAAAACACTTGTTAATTAAAGTTTCGTTATAGAAGAGTGAAAAATAACAAAAATAGAGATATTCAGGTTACAGAAGGCTAAGAGGAGGCAAGTTTGGAAAAGAGGTGTCGACTTTGAGGGCGTTGGAGGCTGGTAGTTCGACACCCATGTTGAAAATATTTCTCTAACAAATGTCGAAGTGTTTTCGACATTTTTTCTTCGACAATCTGTGTGGCGAATAAAAACTGTTGAAAACTTCAGTTTCGATATTGGTGTGGCGAGGCCGTACTACTTGCACTTAGGGCCTCGCCACACTACCCCCGACTTAGAGAAATTTTTCAGAAGTACTCTAGAACGTTCGAAGGTGCGAAAATTCATTCATGAGTGCGTTTCGCCACATTGTGCTCTCCGATTTGGAGGCCAAGAGGCGCACTTCAGACAAAGAGCCTCGTTCCACATCACTAGATAACTCTTGAGTTTCAAGTGCACTATAATCACAAAATTGTGATTAATTTACAGTACACCGGCTCGTGGTTCTATATGTATTGGAGGCCTCATTTGAAAAAGTTGTACTTAAAGCAAGAACACCTTGGCTCCCCCTTGTGCAGATATCTGCTAGTGGCCGTGCCATCCAGTAGGCCGACACCCGGGCGAAAAAATGTCCATATGTGGTCCAGTCTTTAGAACTTGAGAGTCTAGCTTGGGGTGGGGGTAAGATACGTGCACGCGCGCCAGGTTTGAAAATTTAAACTTTTGATCGCCGCATTGTGGCACCCCGCGACGTCGAGAATTCGCACGRCCTCCCAAGTGGACATCAGTTTATGCATACTCCAACTCGTGCATGAGTGTCGAACGACGCAGTTTTGCTTTGTCGTGAGTTATTTGTTGCGGCTTTAGCTTGCGGATATTGTCATCCCCAAGGTGGACATTGGTTTATGTGTACCCCCGCACGTGTGAAGGTGCTTCTTCATGGAGGACGTGGAGTTTGTTGCACAGGGCTCTTCACCGTGCATGTACTCCAACAAGCCATTGTCGGGCGTATCGGACCATCAGGGCGACCGTCGTATCACAGTGGAGCTTTCACCGCTTCAGGCGAGTGCGTCAGCCGCACCTCTCGCGAACCCCTACAACAAGGTAGGGGTCACACGAGGCATAACTTACCTATGCCGAAGGGTTTATCATCCTACCAAGCAACTAAACCACATGCGAAAGTTGCTCGAGTGCAATCGCAAAGGTGCCCCAAACGAGGGTATTTCTCGTTCGCTGTAGCATCGGGGGTACACGTGGCCGAACGCCTTAATTGGACCCATATGCAAGTCGACTACGATAGTTTATCTAACCAAGCGATACAATTAACAAAAAATAAAACCAAGTTCAAGTTTCACTCGTAAATCGCTCATAATCCATTTTTGTTATCCGACCCATAACCTTTTGATAACAAAATAAACGAAGTACATGTGTGAGACTTTGAATAAATATCACAGCGATATAGGTCTTGTCATATCGGCTAGCCACACATAAAYACGCAAGCAGAAGTGATGATGACGTATTATGYGGTACCCATAATCAAGAAACTCTCAAAGGCCTTGASGATTACTTTGAACACTCAAGTATCGTCTGACATATGTCTTGAGAGGCTAATCTTTAAATGTTAGATAATCGTAAGTGCGATTGCAAGACCTACACTCTTTTGCATACTACGTAAATGAGTGGTAGGCATGCTTCGCCCCTTTGTGGCGGCTAAACGCCTTTGACCGGGGGGACAGGTTTCCACCATAGGAGGCCTGAAAACATGTAAAATGTTTTG